ATAAGTATAATTTTAGATCAACATTTGGAGGTTTTTAAAGAAGAGTTGGGTACATTAAAAAATGTGGAGAATATTAGTAGAGAACTACCAGGCTAAATTTTGTGCAGTAAGAAGATTGCCATTTTCTTGGATAGAAGAGATTGATACAGAATTAAATAAATGGTTAAAAGAAGGTATAATAAAACCGATAGTACATAGCGAATGAGCAACACCGTTAGTGCCAGTAAGAAAACCTGATAATAGTCTGAGGCTATGCATAGATTATAGGATTTCACTAAATCCTTGGATTAGAACAACTGTTGGCAAATTTGAAAGGAGCCATTTTTTTCTCGAAGATAGATTTCTCTAATGCGTATTTACAGATTAAAGTTAATGAGAATACAAGTAAAATGTTAACGATAACAACACATAGGGGTTTATTTGCGTTTTGTAGGCTACCATTTGGTTTAAAAGTTTCGGCGCCAATTTTTCAAAAGACTATGACGGCGTTATTTCAGGGAATAAAAGGAGTAATGTATTATTTAGATGATGTTCTGATATCGGGTAAATCAGAAGAAGAGCACAATACTAGATTGGTTAAAGTGTTAGATATAATATTGGAAAATGGTTTAAGAGCCAATATAAATAAGAGTGTTTTTGGAGCAAAAGAAATTAAGTATTTAGGACATATTATTAAGGGTAATGAAATTACGCCAATTGCAAAGAATATTGATAAGATAATGAATATGAGAGCCCCGATTAATAAAACGGAAGTACAGGCGTTTTTAGGAGCAACAAATTATTATCATCGTTTTGTTCAAAATTTTGCAGAAATTGCTACTCCGTTGTATGATTTATTAAAGAGAAATAAAAAGTTTGAATGGGGAGAAGCACAGGAGAAAAGTTTTGAAAGATTGAAAATAAAGATGGTAGAGAAACCTATATTAAATTGTTTTAATGAGAATTTAGATATTATATTAGCAGTTGATGCGTCCAATGAAGGTATAGGAGGAGTATTGTTACAGATGATTGATAATATAGAGAAGCCTATTATATTTTTGTAAAGACAGTTAAATAAGGCAGAAAAAATTATTCAACTATAGAAAAGGAAGCGTTAGCAGTAAAGTTTGGTCTAACTAAATGCAGAGAATATTTATTGGGTCGAAAGTTTTTGTTATATACTGATCACAAACCGTTGGTAGGACTATTTAGAAAAAATAATAAAGAGTTGATGATTTCGCCCAGGTTACAAAAATGGTTGTTATTGGTAGGTAATTTTTATTTTGATATTAGATACAGAGAAGGTAAATTAAATTGTTTACCAGATATTTTATCAAGATATAAAAGAAACAGAAGAGGAAGAAAGAGAGTCCAAAACCGATAATGTAGAAATATGTTTATCAGAAGAGGAAGTTAATAATATTATAAGATCAGAAAGTAGATACTAGAGAGAAACCGATAACTTTGGAACTGGTTGATAATATATCCAAACAAGATGAAGAATTAATGAGAATTAAAGCATGTTTGAAAGGAGACATAGAATGGAAAAAGGAGGACAAAGCATTCAAAAGAGTTAAGAATGAATTATATATTGAAGGCAATTGTCTGATGAGAGGATATCGTGTAGTAATACCATGGACGTTAAGAAAAGATATTCTAGCAACGATACATATAGGACACCAAGGTATAGAGAGGATGAAAAATAAAGCCCAGGAATATATTTGGTGGCCTCAAATGAATAGGGAAATAGAAAGTTTAGCTAGAAGTTGTGATACCTGTAACATGTGGGCAAATGTACCAGCAAAAAATAAAACAGATAAATGGCCAGAAACAGAGGTTCCAGGGAAAAGAATACATGTAGATTTTTTAGAATATGAAAAAAGAAAATATTTTATCATGGTAGATGCTGGGGCGAAATGGATAGATTGTCAACAGGTGACAGGTTTAACGACAAGAGTAGCCTTGACGAGAATAAAGAATTTTGTAGGCAAGTTTGGATTAATGGAAACTTTAGTTTCGGATGGAGGACCAGCGTTTAAAGGTAGAGTGTTTGTCCAATTTTGTGAAAGGTGGAATATTAAGCATTTATTATCGCCACCACATTACCCGCGAAGTAATGGACAGGCCGAGAGAATGGTTTCCATTGTAAAAAGCTGGCAAGAAAGAAAAATATGGAGAAGGAAAATGGTGGTTATTGTTATTAGCTTACAATAACACTAAGACAGCCAAAGGGAAGTCACCCGCGGAGATATTTTTAGGTAGAAAAACAAGAATGGAATTAGATTTTTTGAAAGAAAAAATAAAACAAAAGGATAATACATATGAGGAGAAATTTAAGGTTGGAAGCTTAGTTTGGATTCTTATGTTTGATGGTCCAATTAAATGGGGGAAGGGAATAGTAAAGAGAAATTTAGGAAGAAAAGGAGTTGCGGTAGAAATTGAAGGACAAAAGGGAACTTGGTCTAGACATATCAAACAAGTAAGACCTAGATACTTAGAGCAATAATATTGGAGATAATTATAGATAGAATGTTTTAGGATTTAGGAAAATATATATATTATGAGATGGAAATTGATGATAGACATATTTATGAGAATCATAATTTCTGATGATATGGAATTGATGATAGACATAATTATGAGAATCATAATTTCAGATAATATAGAATTGATGATAAACATAGTTATGAGAATCATAATTTCTGACGATATGGAATTGATGATAGACATAATAATGAGAATCATAATTCTAAGGATGATAAATTGATGAAGGGCATAATTATGAGAATCATAATTTCTGCCGATATGGAATTGATGATAGACATAGTTATGAGAATCATAATTTATAGAGGAATAAAATAATTACGAGAATATGAGAGATTATAGGAGATCTTTAGATTTTTTTTTAAAAATTAAATTATATAGTAATTTGTTTTAGATGGCTTCCTTCGTCAGAGTAGGAAAAAAAATTATTAAAATCGAAATACGAGAGGTTGACGGATCCGTAGAGTCGAAGAAATGGATAGAAGCTGCCCGGTTGGAGGCACAACAAAGATATGGACAGTTATTGCAAGAAGTAACGAAAAGATCAAGATATGAGACCAGAACAGATCAAGATTGGGTCAGGAGAAGTCTAATGGAGTGTTGGTCTTGCGGAGGCACCCACAAGTTACGTTACTGTCCAACTGCGGCGTTAACCTCCGACAACAATGCTCTGCTATCAGTAAGAGAGGATATTGACCAGCCTAAATCTTCCACACCAGTGGGTTTTTAAGGGGGATGGTGTTGTAATTATTCAATTTTTCCTAATTTTTTTATATTGTTATGTAATTATTTTTTTTGAATATTATAATTAGTTATTATTATATTATAATTTTAGTTGGGCATTGTTAGTTCGCCATTCAAATTTGCAATTTGAATATTAAAAAGATATATATATAGGAAACAAAATTATTAAAATTTAATTTAAAAAATTCATTTTAATTCATCCAATAAATATTATTTCAAGACAAAAATAAAGGTTTGATTATATATATATTTTAATATTTAATCTTTCTTTTTTTTATAATAATAAAACGTCAAAATCCAACAATAAATATATCAATTCCTTCTTTTTTTGAAATCGGGACACGTTGACGCTATAATTAAAATGGATTATATATTGGAGGGCGTTCTTACCTTCTTAGTCGTCTCTATTCCAGAGTCTTGAATAACGATCACTTATATATTAATAAATATTTAATTTTAAATATTTTGAATATATCGAATTTTTTCAAAATGTTCATAATTATTATTCTTTGGCGAAAAAGATATCTAAGGATATTTCTATCTATTCGGTATCAATTTTAAAAAAAAATTATTCATCTTTTGTAGTGTTTTTCATTTTTACCAATCAATCGGCTTTTCACCTTTTTTTTTGCATCAGATTTTTCAAAGATGCTCAAATTCTCCAACTATTTTTTTATGCAACATTTACTATATTATAAAAGTAAGTATAGCCAAAGATACAAGAAACAGTACTTTAATTAACATCTCGGAATGTGAGTATTTTTTATTAATAATTATAATTAATAATGATATGGTAATTTCCCTCTCATATATTAAGATTAAATGTTAATTTTTTTTATAAGATAGCACAGTTTTTATATACTATATCTTAAAATGGATCTTAATTTAATATATTGAATCCTCAATTATTATAAATTGAAATATATAATGTATTTTCATAAAGAATATTGTTATTTATATTATTACAATTTTTGAGTATATTTCGGATCTAAAATAACAAATTTTTTATTTTGTAACTTTTATACCTTTTAATGGTATATATTCGTTTTGCAGTGATGTCAATTTTTTCATATTATCTAAATATAATATTTTGTTTTGGAGTTGGCAAAACGTATTGAGGAACTAAAAAGTACTAACCAATTATGTCTTATTTTGCTGAACTTTGTCATTACGCTATCTACTTAAAAGATTGAAGCATTAAAATATAAATTCAGCAAACAGCGATATAAGTTTTTAGAATGCTTTCAATTAATTTTTATGCATGGGCCAAAATGTTATAATGAAGTACTAATTGGTCAATTTAAATCTAGTGTTTTAAAATTCCACTTCTTCGGCCAACTACACGAATCTAAACCAAAATATCTAATTAATGCTTTAAAACTCAGTCAAAAGCAAAAATTATCTCTGGAGAAGGGGCTTTTCTTAAAATAAAGTAAGCCCCCCCTCTCCCCAATGCCCACGAAAAATGATGCCCAGGCCACTACCAAATTAAGGAATAATCGACTTCACAAAAAAAATAATTAACAATTTTTTTAGTGACTTGACCTTCTTCAATGTAATATTAAGATACAATATATCCTAAAGCCTGAAAATTTTCTTTTCTTACACATAAAATTAATTATGGAATGATATATTTTATTATTAATTAAACGTATATATTATATTTTTTGAATATATAAAATTTAGATTCCTTTTTCTTTATATAACAATTATTTGAATCAATGCGTTTAAAAAGATCTGAAAATTCTTGTTTATTTACAGCATTCAAAAAAAGAAAGGGAAAAATATTTTAAACGCGATATTCTTTCCCTTTTTCATGTCTCAATATTATGGAGGAATGATTTTTAGATGATAAATTATTTTCCTCTTTTAATAAAATGATATCTTTGTCCGATAAGGGTATGAATCTCTCTTCAAAAATGGGGACATTATTGTAATGAACACTTTTGACATGCAGATTGCCATTTTTGTTTAATCGATTCTGCTCCGCCATCATTTCACACCCTTTAGGTTTAAAAAATGGTGGGCTTGGTCCAAGCCCTTTTAAAAAATTGCAACATTGGGTGAAAAGTTTTATTTTCAACGACTTTTTAAGTGCCTTACGTATATCGGAGCTGCAGAAGCAATAAAGATAAAAATTGAGCGAATAATTGCAAATTTCCAAAGTGTCACTTACTATCATACCCACTTTAAGCGAGTTTTTTTTGCGAAACTTCTCGAACCGAAAAAAAATGGATATAAAGGCTGCGGGCAATATACACACTAAGAAAAGTAATACAACGGAAACCATTAGAATGATGAGACGCCTTTCATTTTGAAATTTACGTTTGATCTTAATGTTTTGTCGGTGTTGCCTATTACTTTTATTAGTAGGAACTTTATCACTTATTTTTTTAGATTTGATCTTATTATAGCTACTTTGAGTATCTTCATCATCGTCATCTTTATTATTACTTGTATTCGAGTTTCTTACGCGTAAAGAGTCTACGTTAAAAGTATTAGGAATTCCTTTTTTGATCCTTTTAAATAATTTAATAAGAGAACCATTTTCAAGGGATAGGGGTTTTATGCCATCGTTTATCTTCTCTACCTCTGAGGAAGATATAATCGTGTTGTAATAATCAGTTGTGAGCTCGGATGCAGGAGTTGTAGTGGTCTCGTAATCGCAGTAAATATTATCTAGGTCTCCGCTATGACTAATATTTGTCTCCTTGAGATCGGAATACTTGGGTAAATCGTTAAGATTATATTTTTCGTCATTAAGGGATATTGATGGTTTTTTAATATTGATATAGTTGTCCCTTTTACGGGTAAATTTGTTATAATGAAATATATTTCGTTTGAAGCTATTTTGGTTCGTATTTTCATTTTGAACATATGGTCGCTGCTGATCTCTAGGTATTGTTTTTGAAGATCTGGAATTTGTTTCTTCGAACATTTTTTTGCGCTTTTTAACAATCTTACCAAAATCATAGGCTATACGAAAATTGAAGAAAATTAATAAGCAAATGGGGAGAAAAGTTAAAAATATTTCCTTAAACCACACATAGCCTATATTGTAGGCTACAGAATCGCTAATAATCTTATGAGTATCAAAAGTGTAACGTGTCGGAAGTATCGTCCTCTCAACATCTTGAAACGAATCGTTAATAAATTTTCCCATTCTTAAAACAACAGAATCATTATATTTAAGTAGAGAGGAGCGAGATAAATTATTAGGAATGTTGAAATCGTTAGTGTTTGTAAACTGATAGGTATTCTTACCATTATGATGCAATGAGTGATTGTTACTATTGGTCGAATTTACTATGCCACTTTTATTCTGAGGTAATGAGGAGAATAGTAATTTAGGCACTACTTGATATTGAAACACCAAGGGTAAGCTAATGGCGAAGGCTATGAGGAATGAAATTATAACGGCAATTTTGGCCCTTCTGTCAGTGCATAACACCTTATACCGAACTGGATGGCATACAGCTATATATCGTTCGACAGTTAATGCGATAACGAGTAATACGCTCGATTTCATAAAGCCATTTAAGAGTACCAAATCGATTCGACACAAAAATGTTACGAAAGCTTTACTCTCTAGGGCTGGAAAGTCTATTGAAAAATAGACAAAATTTTCAAGGGCCCATGGTATGGCTAATAGATTAACGGATAAATCGGCTACAGCCATCCATTTAAGATATATATAGGCAACCCCTTTAAGCCCACCCGAGAACAAGGTTATGAGATTCAATAGGTTTCCAAAAATACCTAGTATAATGAATAACGGGAATATGGTGAACCAAAATACTAATTTGACTTTATTTAAAACAATATCTGGGATATCTTGCTCATACGTTTCCAACTCGCTAAGCACGATTGATATGGCCGAATTATTCATATTATTATTTTTTGAAAAATTCTTCTAAATTTAAAAAATATAAAAATATAAGGAACATCTCCTTTTTGTAAAATGACTAAAATACTAAAAATTAAGTTATAAAAATGCTCATTTTTTATCTTTAAAATTAATAAATGTATTTATTTTATGTTAACTAGATCGTTTTCTTCATAAATATTTCAAGTCGAGGCCATTCTGAATTATTGAAGATGATGCATAATTGAGGCTTCGAATCATTTTGGTCTAGCAATCTAATTTGGATGATTAATATTTTTAAAATAAAGTAAATACTAAATTTAAAATATCAGTAAAACAAACATTATTTTTTAGGTTTAATAAATTTTTGGAAAAAATTATGAAAAATCAAATATTTAAAATCTTGTTTTCTTTTATTAGTTATGAAATAAATGTATTTATTATTATAATATATAATACTATTTTTGTATAAAAATAAAAAAATATTTCTATAATAAATTATGTGTAAATTATTTATAAATATATGCTAATTTTTATCGCAGAAAATTTTAAAATAAGATTATTCAAAAAAATTAATATCTTAATCGATGAAAATAAAAATTATTTTGCATAAAGCCATTCTCAGAATATAAAAATAAAATATTGTCACTTTTCTACATTATTCTTTGCGTATATTTATAATAATTATCCCTTATTAATATTTAGCGATTTGAATTTTAATATATCATCTACAATTTAAATTTTTTTATGAATTAATATTGTTTGAAAAAAACCAAAAAATAGTTTTTGAAAAAGAACCAAAAGTAATTTTACAAAACAAGAGGATTAGTATTATAAATAAAGTATTTAAAGTAAATTTATTTAAAAAAATAACAGCTTTGAATTTATATTAAAATTTTGAACATTTTAGAAAAATTTATATATGATCAATTTTTTTTAAAGTTTTTAAAAAAGAATAAACTGACTTTTTAGTCAAATTTCATTTAAAAAATTTTTTAAATAAATTTACCAATTGATTTATTAATTATTATTTTACGCACAAATTTTTAAGAAAATAAACCTATTAATCTAAGTGTTGATAAATCACTCCATTTGAGTCGATTTTTGTTTGACTACAACAAGTTAACATTTTAGTCGAAAGCTATCGACTTGGCCTGGAAATTTAACCCGAAAAACTATTCAACTTGAAGAGTTTTAGCCGGCATATTTATCTGATTTAGCCATTAATTACAATTACGTTAGAGGATTTCCTCTCTTAGTTTTTTATAATGGTTGGTTAAATTGTTACTAAATAATAAAGATATTCTTTTGTACAACTGGAGTAAAAATTTTTTTGCTTAATAACCTATTTGTTGCTCAAATTTTATTATTTCTCCTAAACCATATCTTAAACCCCTAAATATTTTAAGGGCTGGTAATTTTCATATCATTTGTATAATCGATAATAATTTTGAAATACTTTTATAAATATTAATTTATTATAAAATCAAAATTGTTTTACATTATGTTTTATAATAGATATTAATGCGGCTAAACGGCTCGATTTGAGCCTATTTTTAAAAACGGCTAGCTGAATATTTTCACCAGAAAAATATTGCCTAAGCCCTTAAATTTCGCTAATGGACGTGCAAACTTTGGGTCATCCATAACCAAAATCTTCAAGCTTGCGTTATATTGTTCTGAATAAAATATCGTGTTAGTCGGTTTCAAAAATCGGCTCAAATCGAGCCTTTTAACAACACTAAGTCTTTAATTAAAACCCAGTGTAATTTATCTAGATATATTGCAAGATAATGGTTGCCATACATTAAAATAAACAAGCATAATCCTCAAAGATTGCAGCTATTACCATTTTTTTAAAAAAAGTAACTTAATCATAATATGCGAAATAATTGTAAGAATGTTAGTTTAAATTCAAATCATTTTTTTTAGCCAAAACTATAATTCGAGTAGAAACAAAAAGAATGTTGAAAGGAATATGTTTTGTTGCTCTAATAAAATATAATTTTATGCACCTTACATATAATTTTTTTTTAAATTTGAGAAAAAACAGATAAATATAATAATATAATTGATAAATAATTTATTAAGCAATCAAATAATTTTATATGACATTCTTTATTTAAAACTCAAGGTGTATTTATTTTTAATTTGATATAACGATTTCAGGTGTTGTGTAGTACTTTTATTTTCTTTAAAAAAACAGATATTAATTGACTAATTAGTTTAATGTATTATTAATGTAGAACTAATCTTATTTGAACACTAGCTGATAGATCTTTATTCTTGACAAAATTATACGTCTTAGTTATTATCAGGTATAGATGTTATATAGAAATTTTACCACATCTTCTGAGAATTGAGATTGTTTAGTTATTAGTGCTGTGTAGTAAAGGGGTATTTTTTCTGAAAAAATTAGGTAATGGAATTGCTAACACGTTGCTTTTTGAGTTACCCGTTACTTTATATTTTATTATTATAATATTTTAATCATTATGTTTTATTATCGTGAGTAGGGGATACTGGGGTTAGGCAAACCTATTTTTACAAAATTGGTTATAGCTCCTGGTTTTTTTAGATAATATAAAAATAATATATGATTAGATACCTAAAACTATACTCTATAAAGGTGCCTTATAAAAAATTTTAAAAATATAATCATTTTTTATTAATTATATTTTTTGTAAGAGTAAAAATTTTGTCCAACAAGCCCCAATAGCGGGGTGAGGCAAACCACTTCATGGGGGTAAACCATTGGTTTTTTAGGCCATAATAAATTGGAATGCATTTTTATTTATTAATAATGATATGTATAGAATAATTTTATTGTTTTATTGTTCAAAATATCATAATAATGATAAATTGTAGCTAATTATATATAAAAATTGAAACTTAATTTTGGTTAATTTAATAAACATTTTGGACATAAAAAAATAAGGATCTTAAGGAGAGCTTATGATTTTTTTAGCATAAATCCTAAATACCAATCATAAAACGGCCATGAAATAGCCTTTTCAAGATTTTGAAATTTTTTTCATTATTAACTGCCATAATTAACGTGTATGGTTTAGCACAGGCGCGTACGCAGCGGAGGGGGGCAGGGGAACAAATCCCCCCCCCCCCTCGAAAGCCAAAAAATGCAGAGTCCTGATTATATTTTTATATTATTGTTAATATTAATTTATATTTGTTAATATTTATTCCTATCTCATATATATATTTAATTACATTTATTTTAGCAAGCCCCGATAGCTCTAAATTGACAAATTATGATTGAAATAATATCTAGATATAATAATCATAAAACTTTCCCAAATTATAAAAGAGTGTTTAAACTTTGTTATAAAATTTAATTTACATATAAATGACTAAATATTTTAATAAAAATTAAAATTCTGTCATGTAAAAATCTTTTGAAAATTTCATCAAAATTTTATTTCTTTAATAAAATTTTTAATTATTAAATATTCCAAAAGATTTTTTGTCTATAGATGTAAACTAATGAAAACTATATTAGGATAAAATTTTAACCTTCTGGTATATTTAATTTTAAAATGAGATTAAAGGTTTGCCAGGCCCCTGGGTTTACCTAACCCCAGTCTCCCCTAATTTATATTAAAAATTTAAAACAAATTATACGAATATCTGATTTCATTCTTCTTTTATTTGTTATATTTTCATTGGTCTATTATTGAACCTTTGCATCTTAAAGGTCAAATGAATTAAAGAAACAGTAGGGGAAACTGGGGCTATACGACAGGTGTGGTAAAAAGGCATTTTCATCTTTAGGGCTAATTATTTTATATGGTCAAAATAGGTATTTCTATTCATAATATCTACCATAAGTTCATTGTAGTGGGAGTTCTGCATACAAACGAAGTTATTTATCAAAAACTATTTTTTTAGCTCTTTTTCACCAAATTTTTTATTTGGTAACTTTTTGTTTGGAGGTATAAGTTCTTTTGAATTTTGGATATATACCTTAATGCTAACAAATAAACTTGGTCCAAGCTTCTAGCTTATCTCAAAAATTTGGAGCTAAGCGAACTTACTATTCTAATGGCTAAACGGCAAAGGGTAATATGACAAATTAGTGAAGTAAGAATTTCCTAGGGTAACAACCCTAGAAAATATCTTAAGTTGGTTCTTTGTCTGTGTAAATCAATTAACTGAACTCTGATATATGACTATATTTATAAGGATCCTCCAAGATATAAAATCATTTTAGATGACGTTGTTGATACGATAACCGCTGACGCAAATCTTAGAACAGCTGATGAGTCTATAGCCAACTCAGTAATTAACAATGATAGCAGACACTTTTGCCATAAGAGTATGGTGCAATATCGTCATTGAATATTATAGGAGTGAGGTAGAAGGAAATAGAGATGGAGCATGAGTTATGGGGTTTCTAGACTAATTTTTATGGTTTCGCAAAAAATTTAGGTGGTAGGTATAATCTTTTTTTAGGGAAGGGGTAAATTATAGTGTAATTAATAAATTTAGGTATATCAAACTTTATTTGTAATAGCATTATGAAAGCTAATTATAATAGTAACTATAATATGGGAAATTGGCTCATTAAGTAAATAGAAGTTTATAAAGTTGTATGTTTTTTAGTTATAGTTAGTATAAATCGAAAGCAAAAGCATATATAATGTATTTTTCAGCTATAATACGAATTTGAATATTTTAATTGTATACTATTAGTAAATAAATAATTTATAATACTACAATTAACAAAATAATATTAAAAAATAATATAATATTACTACATAATATTGCCATTCAGTAAAAAGCAAGAAGATTTGATATAATACACTAATTACCTAAAGTCATATTCATTCTATCTATGCAGCGCCGTGCCGAGACTTTTGGTGGCCCAGGGCAAAAAATAATTTGGCGGCCACTTAAAAAGTTTTTTGATAATTTTTAGAAATGAGAAATAAAAGCATATATATTCTATTAAATTTAATCATAAATGAGTAACGCACATTATAAAAATGAATATAATCATAAACTAAATATTTCAATTTTATTTATTCTCCTTGCCTTTTTATTTGCAAAAGAGGATATTTGTCGGTATAATCAAACGCTAAAGAGAGATTAACAAGTCGGTTCTGTGCCATGCAGGATTGTAGGTAAGTTTTCATTAATTTGAGTGAGAAACTGATTTCTATGGATGCCACGGTAGTTAGAATGGTTAAAGTAATCCTTAATACAATGGATATATTTAGTAAATGGAGTATTCATAAGGCTTGC